AAAAAAAAAAAAAAAAAAAATCTCTCACAAAGAAAAGCCCTAGACTGATAGCTTCACTGATGAATTATACTAGACATTTCAAGAAGCACTACCAATCCTTAGGAAACGTTTCCAAAAAATTGAAGAATAGAGATCACGTCCTAACTTATTCTATGAAGCTAGCATTACCCCAATACCAAAGGCAGACAAACGCACAACAACAAAACCACAGATCAGTATCCCTTATTGAGATGTGGGTTACCTTTGCAGAAGTTTGACCTGCAGACTCTGACTTAACCAATGAATGAATGCACTCTTACACCTTTACAGTGTTTTAAGTGGACTAGGGATGGCCATTGGCTGCTTTTAGAGGGCGAAATGCAACCAATTGACCTAGTTTCCTGTTTATCTACATATTTATTCCCTAGACATTACAAAAGAGGTTCTAAGTTAACACACTTGTGGATAATTAACATAGTTAAAAGAGTGGTTATAGGACTGGTAAAAGCTTTAGATTCTCAGGCCCAGAGTAAATGCTATTAACAGGTAATTTCCCTTTGATCCTCCCCTCCCACCCCAACAAAGCACAAAATTAACATGAGTAAACAGAGTGGAGACAAATGGGTGTGGGGTAAACAGACTTAACTGGGAAGGCCTTTGATTATTTTTCTCTCTCCCTAACTTAGTGGACTGGCCCTTGGCCTGCCCCAGTAAAACCTTTAGGCCTTCCAAAAGGTTTGAGGCTATAATCCGCAAATTTCTCTAAATATTTTCCATAATATTTTGTCAAGTGAATAGCAACACCTTCTGAACACTGATGCAAAATTTCTCAATAAAATATTAGCAAACTGAATTCAGCAGCATATTAAAAGAATTATATACCATAACCAAGTGGGATTTATTCCACAGTGAACATGGTGTTGAATAGAAGTGGTGAAAGTGGGCATCACTGTTTTGTTTGTGATCTTAGAGGAAAAGCTTTAAATCTTCTGTCACTGAATATGTTGTTTGCAGTAATCAAAATAGTGTGCTACTAGTATAAACAGAGAGACCAATGGAATACAATGGAGCCTAGAAATAACCCTCACATACATGCTCAAATGAATTTTGACAAAGGTGCCAAAACCATTCAATGAGCAAAGCCCAGTGTTTTCAACAAACGATGCTGGGAAAACTGGATATACATATATAAAGAATAAGGCTGTATCCTTACCTAAACACTACATATAAAAATTAATTCAAAATGGATCAAAGGCCTAAATATAAGAGCTAAAGCTATAAAACTCTTAGAGGAAAACTGATATTGTCTGGTTGTGTCCCCATCCAAATCTCGACTTGAATTCTATCTCCCAGAATTCCCACATGTTGTGGGAGAGACCCAGGAGGAGGTAACTGAATCATGGGAGCTGGTCTTTCCCTTGCTATTCATGTGATAGTGATTAAGTCTCACAAGATCTGATGGGTTTACCAGAGGTTTCCACTTTTGCTTCTTGCTCATTTTTTTCTTGCCACTGTTGTAAGAAGTGCCTTTTGCCTCCCACCATGATTCTGAGGCTTCCCCAGGCATATGGAACCTCAATTAAACCTCTTTATCTTCCCCATTTCAGGCATGTCTTTATTAGCAGCATGAAAACAAACTAATACAGTAAATTGGTACCACTAGAGTGGGGTGCTGCTGAAAAGATACTTGAAAATGTGGAAGCAACTTTGGAACTGGATCACAGAGGATGAAACAGTTTGGAGGGCTCAGAAAAAGACAGGAAAATGTGGGACCATTTGGAACCTCCTAGAGACTTGACTGGCTTTGACCAAAAGCCTGACAGCAATATGGACAATAAGGTCCAGGCTGAGGTGGTCTCAGATGTAGATGAGGAAGTTGTTGGGAACTGGAGTAGAGGTGATTCTTGTTATGTTTTAGCAAAGAGACTGGGGGCATTTTGCCCCTGCCCTAGACATCTGTGGAACTTTGAGCTCGAGAAAGATGATTTAGGGTATCTGGAAGAAGATATTTCTAAGCAGCAAAGCATTCAAGAAGTGACTTGCGTACTGTTAAAAGCATTCAGTTTTATAAGGGAAGCAGAGCATAAAAGTTTGGAAAATTTGCAGCCTAGTTCTGTTCCTCTAAAGTAACCCTAACTAATACAAAAACATAGGGGAAAGCTTCATGATACTGGATTTGGCACTAATTTCTTAGATATGACACCAAAGGCACAGGCAACAAAAGAAAAAGACAAAGTAAACTTCATGAAAATTAAAATCTTTTGTGGATCTAAGGACACCATACAGAATGAAAAAGCAACCTACAGAATGACAGAAAATATTTACAAATCCTGTATCGATAAGAAATAACAGAATGTACAGAGAACTCCTGAAACTCAACAAAGGAAAACTAACACCCCAATTCAAAAATGGGCAAAAGATGTGAATGGACATTTTTCCAAAGAAGATGTGCAAATGATGCCAGGTACAGTGGTTCACGCCTGTAATCTGAGCACTTTGGGAGGCCAAGGCAGGCAGATCACCTGAGGTCAGCAGTTCGAGACCAGCCTGGCCAACATGGCGAAACCCCGTCTCTACTAAAAATAAAAAACTAGGCTGGGCATGGTGGCTCACACTTGTAATCCCAGCACTTTGAGAACCGAGGCAGGTGGATCATGAGGTCAGGCATTCGAGATCAGCCTGACCAACACAGTGAAACCCCACCTCTACTGAAAATACAAAAAATTAGCCAGGTGTGGTAGCATGTGCATGTAGTCCCAGATACTTGGGAGGCTGAGGCAGGAGAATCACTTGAACCTGGGAGGCAGAGGTTGCAGTG